AATAAAACTTAAAATGAAACTATTGATGGAGGTAAGGATTTCCCTGGCAGTTCAGTGGTTAAGAGTCCAAGCTCCCATCACAGGGGGCACAGGTGTTATCTCTGGCCGGGGACATAAGATCCCACATGCTCTGTGTCATGGCCAAAAATAATGATAATAATAAGGCAATGAACAGTGGGGCTGGGGGCATCTGGGTTTGTGACTGAAGATGGAAAGGGTGATGGGGAGGATGTGGGAGGTTTCAGAAAGTCCCCAGGGTGGAGTTTTTATTTTGGAACACAAGACAAGACATCCCTCCTTTCTGCTAAGAGCGGCTTTTCTATCACACAACAGTTCAGAATGTCTCTTCTCTATTTCTGATCCTTAGGAACAGTCTTGAAAGTGAAAGTGTTAGTCATTTCAGTCGTATCTGACTTTTTGTGATCCCATAGACTGTAGCCCGCCAGGCTCCTCTGTGCATGGGATTCTCAAGGCAAGAATACTGGAGTGGTTAGCCATTGCCTTCTCCAGGGGATCTTCCAGACCCACAGATCAAACCCAGATCTCCCGCATTGCAGGCAGATTCTTTACTGTCTGAGCCATCAGAGAAGCCCCAGGAACAGTCTTACCCGCTCCCTAACTCCGAACCTGTCCTTAGAGGTTCTTCAGTAAAACCAGTGAGCCAGTCACCTCTGGTACTGGAACTGCACCCACTCAGGACAGGGCTGTGTGAGTTTGTTGTCCCAGTGGATTATTCAGGGAAGGGCTTATGCTGGGCAGGGGAATCTGAGGGACTGAAGCGGCTCTTTTCCCTACTGATGTAAGGTCACAGGGCCCTCATGAGTGACAACCTTAGCATTCAGATGAGTAAGTGACTAGGAGGTTTCAGGGGGATGCTGGGCTTCCCAGGTGGCACTAGTGGTAAAGAGCCCGCCTGCCAGTGCAGGAGCCGTAAGAGACGCGGGTTCAATCCCTGGGTCGGGAAAATCCCCTGGAGAAGGGTGTAGCAACCCACTGCAGTGTTCTTGCCTGGAGAACCCTGGACAGAGGAACCTTGTGGACTGCAGTCCACGGGGTCGCAAAGATTCAGACACAACTAAAGCGACTTAGCGCACATGCACAGACCACACTAGCTGGACCTAAAGGAGAGAATCCATGTCTAGAGAACAATGTGGACAAAATCAGTGGCTGACAACTCTTAGTCTATACGTGAGCCCCAACCCTTGACAAAGCATTAGTCAATTCGTAGATTATATACAGACACAGTATAAATCCGTGTTGGCCCAAAGTCACCAACTTCGTGGGAAGCACCACCTACTGTTCTAATTTGGGGCACTCACATGTCCTTTCTTTTATGAAACTATGGTCATAACAGATGGTTTAGTAGTGGGTTGCCATTCCCTTCTCCAGGGGAATCTTCCCAAACCAGGGATTGAATGGTTTAGTAGAAACCATTTTTTTTTTTTGGCCATGCCCTAGGTCATATGGATATTAGTTCCCCTCCCAGGGCCTGAACCCTGCAGTAGAAGTGCAAAGTCTTAACCCCTGGATCACTAGGGAATTTCCAAACCAATCCCTTTCTTAACCAACTTATTACAGCAACAAACACCTTTCGATCTCTTGGTGAAAATACTGTCTTTGTGCCTGTGGCAACGGGTAGATTCTCTTGAAGTTTCTCTTGCTTCTGCTCTTCGCGCATCACCCATTGAGATGCGTGTTTAACAAGAGTCAACTGCATCCAGGCCCAAACCTGTTTAGGCCAGTCATACCTGTGGATTATAATTATGCAATTTGATGAATTCACCCATGAACAAACCAATTAAGAGTAAAAACAGAAACAATATTGACCAATGGCAGGGAGCGTAAACAAAAAAAGTTACTTCTACAAAATTGAGGGGACTTCCCTGGCAATCCAGTGGTTAAGACTCCAAGCTTCCACTGCAGGTGGCGTGGTTGGTTCAATAACCCTGCCGGCTGTGTGGTGCGACCAAAAATATTTTTATTTTACAAATAAATAAATCGAGTGTTTTAGAAAGACTCAATTAAAGCATATCATTTTTTAACAGCAAACTAGAAATGAGGGAGAAGACTGTAAAATATTCATAATGAAAGCATAAAAATGAAAAAGGATTTTGCAATCAGATTGCTTCATCAGTATCGAGAATGTCTTGCTCCACGTCAGGGAAACTAGAACTAGAAACTCCAGGACCAGACAATGTGTGTAGTTTGTGCAGAAAAGGCGAGTAATCCCCCTTTTTTTTTTTCAGCAGATTCATCAGTGAAGAAAATGCTTAGATTTACATCTTGATACTGTTAATAGCCAATGATGACACATTTAGATATTTTGAGCCAAAGAAAGCATTTAGAGAAAGAATATATCTTTTGTGTGATTCCTTGATAAAACCAACTTTTCCAGTAAACAAACTGTTAACAATTCCAATTACCTTGGGTAAGAATACACCTACTTGGTAAGATAAAAGCCTGACCACTATATCAGTCCGTCCTGGTCTAAAAAATTCTTATATGTGAGGGATGACCCTGGTGGTCCAGTGTTTAATACTTCCCCTTCCAAGGCAAGGGGTGGGGGTTCAATCCCTGGTCAGGAAGCTAAGATCCCACATGGCCCATAGCCAAAAAAAAACAAAACATAGAAAACAGAAGCAATATCGTAACATAGTCAATAAAGACTCTAAAAAAAATAGTATGCTTCTTAACAAGTCTTGCCCGTCTTTAAAAAATAAAATTAAATAAAAAATCATTGGCGCATAAAATCAACTGATTTTAGCTGCCTGGCCCTTCCAAGATCCAGTGGCTATGAACTCTGTTTTCAATATATCCAACAAAGGTAGCCTTTAGCACCACTTCTGTCTAACACTTATATATATATATATATTTTTTTTTAACTTTTTGACCATGCTATACGGCATGTGAGATATTAATTCCCCAAACAGGGATCAAATCTGCTTTGGAAGCACAGAATCAGACCTCCGGGCAAGTCCCAATCCAATGTATATATATTAATCATATATGACTCTAACCTGACTCTCAGAAGGGCTCAGTCTATAGAGAGCAGCCTTGTGGTTGCCGAGGAGGAGGGAGGGTGGGAGAGGGATGACGGGGAGTCTGGGGTTGATGCAACTCACACAGAACGGGTAAGCAACGAGGTCCTGCTGAATGGCGCAGGGAGCTATATTCACTATCCTGTGATAAACCATAAGAGAAAAGGATATTTTTAAAGAATATATATGTACAACTGAACCGCTTTGTTGTACAACAGAAATTAACATAACATTGTAAATCAGCTAAACTTCCATTTTCTTTTTTTAAAAAAAGGAGGGTGGGCTCTGTCTTCTGAAAACCAGAAATACACACGTATTCTCTCAAAAGGAGACTATCCAAACCTTCCAATGTTTTATAAAGTGGAATCTTTAAATATTAATGATTCAGAAACCAAAGGAGGGAAACTCCGGCACCTTTGTCAGGCTATAAATAACTGGGCACTCAACCGGAACTGAGCAGTTAAACATCTTGGAGTTTGTCCTAACAGAGTGTGCTTTCCTGGGAAATGGTAAGTGCCACCCTCACTGAGGCCAAATGAACCTTATCTGAATTTTCTCTCCCTTGCAATAAAGGTGCTAGTCCAGAACCCAAAGTCTGCCTTAGCAAAGCCTCTGTGGAGAAGCCGGATACGGCTGAGACAACACCAAGATGGTAATCTCTAAACATTAAGAAACAGTTTCCTTCAGCCCTCTTGCACATGTTTGCCTCCCTTCCCCCACCCTGACCATTTGCCCAGCACTCTCAGGCTTGAACAAATTGGGCTGGATTCAAGACAGGTTCCTGCAGTCATGACCCAACACTGGGAGAACCTAAGTGCCTCCTGTGAGGACCACCACTCAGAAGTCCGCTCTGCCTGGCTAGCTATAGAGTGGACTGGACAAAGTTTACAAATATCAGGGCCTAGTCAACCCCATCTCTAAGGGTATGAAAAGGTCCCTTTTCAGAATGCCATCTATCCAGATGACTGGAATCTGGGATTTAAAAAAAACTTTATATCCAGAGATATATCTGGTAGGTGCCTATTTTAAAGGCTGACTGAGGCGATTAAAAGTTAGATGGACAGGAGAAAGGCCAGTGTGGGCAGAGCGGGGCAAGTCAGGGGAAGAGGAGCCAGAAGGAGGGTCCCGGGGCAGATGGGGATCCGTGGACCCCTGGCCCCCGTGGTTCCATGGAAGCAGCCACGAGGAGGCGACAAGCAGAGAGTGATCAGGCCTGTGCTTTAAAGAGATCCCTCTGGCTGCTGGGAGGAGGATGGACTCAGGGGCAGAGAACAAGAGGGACTCCAGGCCAAGGACTGGACTAATTTGGTAACAATGGAGATGACAAGCTGAGACAGGAACCAGGATTCCAGAGACAGAGGTGTCGGGACCCTAGAATAAAGACAGTAAGTCCGGCATCTGTAATATTTCTTTTTATTTATTTGGCTGTGCTGGGTCTTAGTAATGGCATGCAGATCTTCGATGTTTAACTGTGGCATGTGAACTCCTAGCTGTGGCATATGGGATTTCATTCACTGACCAGGGTCCGAACCCAGACCCCTTGCAGTGGGAGGTCAGAATCTTAGCTACCGGACCACCAGGCAAGTCCCAGTCCAGCATCAATAAATACTCACTGACTATCCCTCTGTGAGTAACTGTGTACACACACACACACACTCACACACATTATCCTCCTTATACACACAGTCCAGGTGGTGGCCCAGACTCTGGACTCTGGATCCAAAATGCCCAAGTTCAAATTTCAATTTAGCCACTTGCTGGAAGTAAAACTTGATAAGTCACTGAACCTCTCTGCACCCAGATTCCTCATCTGTAAAGCGGGGACAGTAATGAAAGCATCTTCTTAGGGTTGTAACGAGGATTAAATTAGTTACTGCAGGTAAAGAATGTAGGGATGAGTGCCTGCCACAATAGTACATTTTTCCTATTGCTCCTATAACAAATTACCACAAACACAGTGGCTTTGTGAAAATAATAATTTATTCTCCCATAATTGTGGAGGCCAGAAGTAGGAAATCAGTCTCACTGGACTAAAGTCAAGGTGTCGGACAGACTGACTCTTCTGGGGGCCCCAGGGAAGACTCCATTCCTGCCTTTTCCAGCTCCTGGAGGCTGTGGTGTTCCCTGGATCCTGCCCATATCATCCTGACCTCTGCTCCTACCACCATCACTCTCTTCTTCTCTGTGACCTTCTCACCTCCCTCTTCTGAGGACCCTTGAGCTTATGTTTAGGGCCCAGCTGGATAACCCAGAATAGTCTCCCCATCCCCAAATCCTTGACTCCATTATATCTACACAGTCCCTTTTGCCCCAGAAGGTAATGTTCCCAGGTTCTGGGGCTTTGGATGCGAATAACTTCAAGAACCATTATTCAGCCCACCATTCATGATTAAGTGAAAGTGTGAGTCGCTCAGTCGTGTCCAACTCTTTGTGACCCTGTGGACTGTAGCCTGTCCACGGGACTCTCCAGGCAAACATACTGAAGTGGGTTGCCATTCCTTTCTCCAGAGGATCTTTCCAATCCAGGGATCAAACCAGAGCCTCCCGCATTGCGGACAGATTCTTTACCATCTGAGCCACCACCCATGATAAGCAATAAATAGAACTGAATTACTGTTATTACCATTATCATCCCGCTTATTCCCTCAGCAGCTCCGGATTGCATCCCCAACCCTGTCTCAAGCTGTGTGGGAGAGAACGGGATGTGGAAAGACCTCTGTCTGACTCTCAGAAGTTCCCTGAGACCAGACCCCAAGCCATCAGACCAGAGCTGGCCGTGATGCCAGCTGCATCAGTCAGAGACCTCAATCAGTGGCTGGGCCCCTGAGGGGACAGAGAGAGCAGAAAGCAGACAAATGGAACAGGAAGGTCCTCAGAGGTCTCCAGGGGGCTCAGAGAGGGGCTCTGGGGCTGAAGCTAAGGCTTTCTGATGACGCTGTACTCCGTGGCCTCCTCAAGGATCCTGCTGGGAGGGGGGCCGTTGAGGTGCTCCATGTTGCTGTAGGTCGGCTGTTCATCCAAGGTGTCCAAAGACAAAGCTGCATAGGTGATGCTGTCCCTGGAAACCTCAGCCTGCAGTGAAGATGTCTTCAGGGTTAGAGGGGTGTAGGGGATGTTGTCCCTGAAAACGTCAGCCTGCAGTGAAGATGTCCTCGGGGTTAGAGGTGCTGGCCGGAGGCTGCCCACACATGGAGGAGGCCTTGGAGGACCCCGGGGAGACAGACCCTCCAGGACTTCTGGAGGCTTCTCCCAGGCCCTCCAGCCCCTCCTCCCTCCACTCAGCCGGGCACCCTGAGCTCCAGTCGTAGCAGAAGGTGATCTCCCTCAATTCCGTGCCAGGGCAGCACATTTTGCACAGAACACCGGGTCACTCGGCCGCACCCAGCGTATGGACCGTGTCTGACCGGGCTCCGAGCCTCCAGTGCTGAGGTCTGGTACGGAGGTGATGCCAAAGGCTAAAAGCCCACAGGGGCTCTGCCAGCCAGTCTTTCAATGGCTGCATCTTTGCTCAGCGCCCACCTTCCCACGTGGGCGAGAGAAAACCCATCCTCAAAGGAGGAGGCAACAGCGGGTCTGGTCCAAGCCCCATAGCAGCCCCACTGAGCACATACCGTGTTGGCATAGTCCCCGTCCCCCGCGTAGGCCTGGGGCGAGGAGGAGGCCCTCCCAGAGGCCTTCTTCCGGGAGGAGCCAGAGGGCTTTTCAATCTGCGGCAGGTTCAGGTCTGCGTAGTTTATGTCGCTCCCCGGGGGCTGACGCACCTAGGAGATGAGACGCAGCTTCCTCTTCCACGGAGGGACACGTGGCTCGCTGCTTCCCCGGGACGCCCCGCTCCCAGCTTCCTCTGCGACCTCCACTTCCTCTCAGCCTCCCACGCCTGCCCCCTCCCAAGCTCCCCCCACTTCTTGCTGATTCCAGCATCTTCCTGGGCCCCTTCCCAGCCCTTGCAGCTGGGTCGTGAGCATACATGCACTTGGGCACGGGGATTGTCTGAGGCACCTGGGCCTCGGTGCTCCTGGCAGATGGAACACAAGAAGGGGGCAAGGTGTCCAGTCTTTCTGCTCTGACCTCGGGGTCTCTCTTACCTGCACTGGGGATGTCCCAGCAGCTAAAAGACAAAAACAACCAGAGTTAGAATGCCCATTCAGACACTCAGTGGTGCCCCCAGGTCTGGGGAAGAAATGAAGTGAATTAGGCTTCAAGCTCAGAGAAAAGAGTATGTGTGTGTGTGTGTGCGCGTGCGCGCTCCATCTCTCAGTTGCATCCAACTCTTTGCAATCTCATGAACTGTCACCCCACCAGGCCCCACAGCCCATGGAACTTCCCAGGCAAGGATACTGGAGCGGGTTGCCGTTTCCCACCCCAAAGGATCTTCCTGACTCAGGGATCAAGCCCACATTTCCTGAATTGCAGGCAGATTCTTTCCTGCTGAGCCACTGAGAAGAGACCTGGTCCTAATTCTCATCCTCAGATGATAAATAAGGAGACCTCGGTCCATCTATTCCCCACATCGCAGAACTGTGTGATCAGCTGGTCAGGTGGCCCCGCCAGCTATCAACTCCTCTGGGATTAGGCTCAGCCATAACTTCTGGAGTTCTGCTCATAACTCCATCATTTCTCGACCTGCCTGTCATCTTTCAGGGGTCAACTCAAGTCACACCTTCTTTCTGCAGCTACCCAGGCTGTCGAATCCCTCCCTTGCGGGCTCCCAGGGTATTTGATTTATGTCTGTCTCATCACCCGAATCCGCCCGCCAGTGCAGGAGACCCAGGTTTGATTCCTGGGTTGGGAAGACCCCCTTGGAGAAGGAAATGGCAACCCACTCCAGTATTCTTGCCTGGGAAAACCCCATGGATAGAGGAGGCGGGTAGGCTACAGTCCCTGGGGTTGCACAAGAGTCAGACAGAACTGAATGACTAAAGAACTAAAGAGCAACACCCTCGTCCCGTTGAATTCTGGTTAGTCCTCGGGTAGGATGGGGGCTGCTTGGGGGCCGAGCCCGTTCTGTGCTTTCCCGGTGCTGGCTGCATCAGGCGCACCAGGGCTCCCGCAGTACAAGTTGCTCCTGAGACAGGATTGTTCTAAGCTGTTC